AAAAAGGTGAGTTGATTTGTTATATTGAAATGTCTCCTGGGTGAGGAAAAATACATGCACACAGTTTTTTTAACATTGGATTGCAACTATCTTCTTTTGTGAGTTGAATAACTTTGAGCAGGGGTTCTCAAACTTTAACTTCCCTTACAGGAGAGAAAAACTTTCAGGGGTTTCCTCATGAACCCCCTGCTGATTTAAAAATTATTTACTGCACCAGTAAAAAACAACCAAAAATTTAATTCTTCCCATTGTATTACGGGAATCTTTTTTTTTTGGTTGTTTTTACTGCTGCATTGATCCCCATATATGTTAGCATTTTTTTTTCATGATATGACAAAATAAACAATTTATTGCAATTTTTGAGGACCCCTAAGCTACAGCTCATGGACTCTTGAAGGTCCTGGGACCCCAGTTTGAGAACCTCTGACAGAGAAAACATTTAGAAGGTTTTTAGCAAAAAGGCTAAATTGATATCGAATTCATTACATTATATCATTGTACGAGTTTAAAACATYCTGATACATGTTTATGATATATGTTTAGATATATGTTTTAATGTAATAGTAAATAAAACTGATATCGGTTTGCAGATTGACAAGTTCTTTTAGGGCATKTCTAAATAGAAACAAGGTAATCAAGTACAGAAGAACAAATCAGTTTTATTTTGTCTTGCATTAAAAATGTACAAATACATATTATTAGTAAAGTATATTTAATGCAAAGTGTGACTAATGAAATAAAGCAAGAATTATTCATTTTATAAATTAAAACAATTGCTGCTGCATTGTTTCTTGGTCTGAAATGAGCATAAAAAAGTAATATGTAAAACTTAATGTGTCTGTTGAATTACCCAATGACTTCCCTTGAGTGTACACCTGTTTTGACTTTTGACCATGGCGAAAAAAAAAAACTTTTCTAACTAGTATGAAAAATGAAAATATTCGAAGCATTTTAACGGTCATTTCCTAAACAAACAGGGGGAGTCAAACAAACTTAATGAAGTATCAGACATCAKTCGGAGCACCAGGAGAGGATTCACTGCTCTCAGTCACAAACCACTTGAATCTAAACTAAACATGAAGTGCATTTAACAGCACAAGAGAAACAATATATTTTGTGCRACAACACTGTTCATCCATCCTTCACAGTGAAGCATGGTGGTGGCAGCATCATGAATGGTATGGTACATTGCACTAATGGTATCAACGTTTATTTCAGAGCAGATCTGAATCTTTTTTATGGTCTCCTCAAATGTCAGGCACAAGCTTCCTGATATGTCTTGGCCACTAAAACCATAGATCTGAAAGATTTCCATTCTGTCACTCCAGTCTGATGGTGTTTGATAAACCACCCAGTTTTACAGGTAAAACTTAAAAAAGCTCCAGGTCAAGTAGACCCTCTTCCAAAACAATGCAGTTTTGGTCARTTAGTAACCATATTTCTTGGTTACTATGAAAAAAAAAAAACTTCTGCTATCTGTGTTTTTGTACCCACCTTGCCCATTTCTTACCCATTTATTTGTGCTGACATTGTCACAGTAGTAATCTACTACATTTTCTAAATATAGCACACAAGCAGACTAGTTATTTTTATTATGATGAAATTCAAAGATGCAGTTTTATTCGAATTTGGTGTCATGCTCCTAAAAAAATTAATCTGTTCACCTTAAAATGCTTTTTAAATATAGCATTATGCTAAGCTGTGTGTTTAATTTTAGTGTTTGCAAGAAAACAAACTGCAGGAACAAAGTGGCAACTTCAGAATACAAAGTGGAGTATAGTTTCAGTGGTACAATTTGACAGACACCGACCAGAGCTTCAAAAAGTTGCATAGTTGATGGAATTTTTATTTGTTTACATTGTTTTGTTCACGTACAAGTCGTGCCCTTCAGAAAACACAAAAAATTCATGTAAAATTTTTTGATTGCTTTCGGAAAACCTTTTTTTAAATAAATAAATGTATTTCCTTTCACATTTTTACAAACTGTTCTTTGAGTGCAAATTGGTAAGAAAACAGTCCATGTAAAAATATATATTTTCAAATTAAAAGTTGGCATTTTCTCTGGCAGCGTAGTTGGTGTGATGGTCAGCTCTGCTGCCTCCCAGGAAGAAGGTTGATTCTGGGCTGTGTGACATTTTCTGTGTGGATTTTTTTCTTCATGCCTGTGTGGGTTTTTTAGTTTTAACATACATCACATTATRTATTATGAAATTACATGTTGCTTATTGTGACCCCCTGCTGCAGAGCCAAAAAACCCACTCTGCTCTGTAATAAACTCCATGGAAACAGCACTGCTTTGTTCACAAGRCACTTTTCAATAATCAACAGACCATATGTCTGATGTTCTTTCTAACTAAGCGGACAACAATCCAATCAACTAGTTCAGCTCAGACTCTCAGTGCCCTGTTTGTTTTAGGCTCTTTTTTATATAAATGTATTTTTTGTGTTGTGTATTCTTGTGCTCACAGATTCATCAAACCCAGTCACAAAGACGGTCTGCATGAATTCTGACGTTTTCCTGCATCTGCTGACTGAGAATATATTGGGGGTTTTTTTGTGCTCCCCGGGGGAGTTCAGCTGCAAGGCCGAAGTATCAAATCAGTTGAAAAAGTCTAGATAGTTGAATGTCAWATTAGCATACACAGCACTGACTTTTTTGTCTTTGGACAATGCAAGATGGCAGGTACAGAGACTTCGCAGCAGAGAAAAATGGTTAATGAGGAAGATAAGTTATAATGAAGTGAGCAAACAAAATGCCAGGACCGCCATATTTACACTCACTGAAAGGACATCAGTGGCACAGRACAGGTTATGTAAAGAGAACACTCGTGCTCTGCATCGTGATGTTTAGTTTGAATATAGCTCACTTTGTGTGTGTGAGTGAACTTTACTTGCATGCATGAGTGGGCAAAGTCAATTACTGCATAAGGGGAAAGAAATTGGCTATTTCTTAGAATTCTAAAGTCTASCTCAAAGTAAAACTAAAATGTTTGTATGTATATTTGTTTTGTTTTTAACATATGACTTTAGTCACCTAAAATGGATTTAATTTATTTTTATTTTGTTGCTGATTTTAATTTAATTGGAGTTTATTCATAGAAAACATCAACCTTATAAATTTTTGGGCATATCTGTTTTAACATGTCTGTTTCAGTTCATATAAAGTTGTTTTATGTGACTTTTCAATGTTCCAAACTAGTGGTGTCCTAATGCTTGTTTTTCTTAAAATGAGTGCGTGTACATCAGTTTGGGTATTCGCCAGTGCCGAGTACAAGTACCAAGTATGTACTGGGTTAAAACCTAAACGTTACACAATGACTTTAAAAACAGATTTCTTTTATTTAGAACACGGTGTCTCTCCCTCCTTACAGGCCTGCAGCCCCTCTGACTGATCAAATCAAATATACAGCATGATAAATACAGTTAAAACATTTTGAAATAATTAAATAACAAATAAAAAGTTCTTCCAAGTTGTATACATTTCTTAAACATGGAACTGACAAACTTATCAAATGAATATAAACTGTAACACATTCAACTAAGTATCAGTACTGGTATTGGTTCMGAGTATTTGGGCATTTTGTACAATTATAAGTATTTGTAAAAATGCCAGTATCAATATCAAGCCACTACTGTTTCAAACATTGGCCCTGCTGCTGAGAATATAATATCCACAAGCAGGGACAAGAGTTGGGCATTGTTTAATTGTGGGTAAAATGTATTTTCACTTAAGCTATAAAGTTGATGGAATAAACAACTTATTAGCACTATTTTTCACTATAATATGGTGAAATGTAACAAAAAAACACAGCATCATACATTAAAATATGATAAATGGCATCTGCACTGCGTTACACCAAACAGAAACTATAATAAAGAAAAAGGCCTGATATCCAGTATGTGCCTGTACTTACAGGAGACATACCTGGTAAGTACCTGGAAAATACATAATACATGCCAGGTAAGTACTAGATATGTACCCCATTAGTACTTAGGTTCATACCCAAASAGTAAATACCAGGAAGTACTACGTGTACATGCTTGGTACCTACCTTATTAGTGAGTGCCAGTAAGTATTATGTATTGTTCCTGGTTGTTTCTATGTTGACTTGTCTTAAGGTTTTTATAATGTTTCTTTGTTTTTTGTTCAATTTTAAGTAAAACTGTTTTTTAAGCTCCTAAATAAGTAAAACCAAAGAAGTTTGTTCCGCATTCGTAATTTTATTATTTGTTTTTGTTGTATTTGATCCACCAAATGATATAAGTCTACAGCACATGTGTGGAGAACTTGACCAATGCACAGGACTCTGTTTGACATGAACATAATGGGTTGTGGTCAGAAAGCGTCACTGTCCATCTTTCTCTGTCTCTGCCTCGCTTCATCTTTGGAAAAGAAAAGTGGAAATCCATTTCCTATGCTGTGATGAATGGTGCTACCTTTCTCATCAATCTCTCCTTGTTGTTGCTTTCTTTTTTTATTTATTTATTTTTCTTTTCTTATTTTTTCACTGCTGAAGTAAAAGGATAGAGGACTTGGAGGAGTCGATATTCGTCCGCCACAAAGAGTGCGGCTACAGGTTGAGAGACAATGTCCATTTCCACATGTACATCAGCACGTCGCCGTGCGGAGACGGGAGGCTCAACTCRCCTTATGAAATTACCAGAGAGCGTAAGATTTCTAACGTTTTTTTTCTCCAAAATACATTTTGTGTTGATTCGCACATTTTATCCAGCCTGTTCTGGTGGCCTTTGAGTTTAGTACCATAATCTTGACTGTGCACAGGAAGGTTTTCTTGCATCCYACAGAAAACGAGAGGCGGGGAGGACAGAACAGTGCCATCGCCAGTGAATCCTGGGACGTTTTTAGACATTAAACCTCATGAATGTTCTGCAGCGTGCTCACAGAGATTATGAAATTCCTGAACACCTTTGACCGACTGTTCTAAACCACCTCTGAGCCAGAAGCCGGGGCTTAATTTTTAGCTTCTGTCAGATCATGAAAACGGCTACGAACGAAGAGTAAAGATGAAGGGAAAGGGARAGAGTTTAAAACCACAAAATACATGTTTATTTGACAGAAAAAAATGATGAGTCATTTGCACATTTAGCTAGAATACACAGAGGAAAAGGGATATTAGTTTTGTTGTATATTGCCTACATACATATAATTGGTAAAAAACATGTTTTCTGTGAACGTCCACATCTAAAAAAAATCCAAACACAAACAGGTCCCAAAAGCTTTTGGACCAAAAAATTGTCTGACCACTGCATTTGTGACTTYAARGAGATAGTTCAGATCTTTTGAAGTGGGGTTCAGTGAGAACAATCAGTGTCTTATTTATTGTAGAAAATAGTTCAACTTGAAGAGTTTCGCTAAAGGCTAATCTGAGTGAGGCCAAGACTGAAGTGGATTGCTGCCATCTGGCTGCTGTTGTCGCTATTTGTGCTTGCAAAAAAAGATAAAATGCTTTGAACATATCTGTGTAATTGAAAACTAAYGACAACGCAAAGGATTATTAAAGTGTTTGCCTGTACCGCTGTGAAAGTTTTGAGTTATTTTAGGATGGCAACAATCCACTTTGGTTTAAGTTGCATTCAAACTGTTAGCTCATTGTGTTGGTCAGAATTAAACTGTTTCTCCAAAAGATGTTGTCCATCTACAACTGTTAAGATACTAAATGTTCATAATGTTTTCACAGACCTCTCTTAAAAAAAACTAAACTATTGCTTCAGACAACAGTGTCTTGGATCAACAACTTGTGCTCCTAGCTACAACATGCATTAATTAATGGTTCTGGTGGGTTTTAAAGGGGACATGTGCAAAACTCACTGGGCTCTGGGATAGACTCCAACAGAAGGCTGAATGGACAAGTCTTCCCTTGTTGACTTCTTTTAATTAATTTGTAAATAAAATTTCTGTGCTGCTATTTAGTTATAAACCCCTCCATCAAACTGGAATGAATGAGCTGGAGGGGGGCGGGGTGTGAAGTGCCTCATTTGGATTTAAGCCTTAAAACGAGTTGATCTGAGACACACCTCAGAAAAGGGGTGAAAGAGGGGCTTGTGGAGTTACAGTAAGGTGGAATTCAGTTCCACTTTACATAGATCCCATCTAAATTATTTAAATGTGAACAAAAAGGATTTAAAAATTAAATCTCATCCTTTAAATCAGCAGAATTTTTCCATCTCTTTTCCAAACAAGCAGCTCATACTGCCAGCAAGAGTCCAGTTATAAATGTGTATGTGTGGCTTTTTTGTCTTTAAACTGAAAGTATTTTAATAGTCCGACATTAAAATGTTCGTGTTGCATGTCTGTGTTTCAAATCACTTAACTTCACTTCCTAAATAAGTAGATAGATAGATAGATAGATAGATAGATAGATAGATAGATAGATAGATAGATAGATAGATAGATAGATAGATAGATAGATAGATAGAT